ACAGAGGCGTCAGACTTGCAGTAGCATGTTTAAGGCATTATGCAGCCACAGAATAACAGTGTATCAACTTCATGCCCACAATGTTCTTCAGTGCCCCATTAACAAGTAGTTTCCATTGCTTTCGGGGAACCAAAAGCCATGCACATAAAATCTGCATTAATGTCACTAACTTCAACTTTAGGAGAATAACTCTATTCACCTCTCTGTATGTAAATCTGCAGCACATTAAAGTGACCCGAACCGTGATACAAAAGCAAAGGCAATTCAAAGGAAATGGAATGGTACACAAAAACCTCTCCAAAAGCATCCTGAATGCTTCCTGAATGACTTGACTTTTGGGGAATCAATCGCTTTCATGGAATAATTGTGTATTTAAACCTCAAATGGACTTAGAAGGCCAGAACACCATCTTTATTAAAACAAAATCTACAAAAAAGGTACAAAAACATATGGTACAATCTTAAAACAAAGGGAAAAATTAAAGATTAAAGATGGTTTGAAATAGTCATCACCTTGCAGTTGACAAGAGAGCCAGCAGTCATTATGATCGCATTAACCAAAATTCCAGTAATAAGGAATAACATCTGTTCTAGCCACCCCTCATCAAACTACTTCAAATAGCATATTAAGAGTGTGATTTCAGTGTAGTGTTTAATATGGACGAGTCATTTTTATCCAGCAGATAGCGCCTTAATCACCATCTGCTCAAATTCCCAAAGTACATCAGCACAGTCCTTAGTGTGTAGGACTAGCTTCCTCATCGATTAATCCAAAGCTAAACAATTTCACATTCTGCTTATATCGAAAAACAATTCCAAATGGCTTCGTAACAAGCCAAGGCCTCCCACTTTGACTTTGGAAGAGTTGACAAGAATTAAGGGGTTAAATCCTGCAAAATCATTCTTCTTCGAGCCAGACGCACCTGGCGATTGCAAGCAGTGCACATCCAGAAATACTAAATTGTCTTCCAACTCTAGCGAGGCACGTAATACATGTCGTTAAGATTAGAACGTTAAATAAAATGCAGCCTCGACGCTTGTGCGAGACAGAGTATTATTCAAGTACTTTTCACAGAATAATTTAGACCCAAAGTGACTTGCATCACAGTGGACAAGCATAAGGAATATCTATTAAATAACCGTCACATGGAAAGTTTTATACACGTTTGTGAAAACGGTTGGTTGACTCCTCTATAACCGCCAACCTGAGATGTCGCATTTGAACGCAACTCCCGTTCTTAGATCTCGTTCCTCAAGGTGAATCCAAAAAGGAATGGGTCCGTGAGAGCTCACCGAGTTACTATTTACATATATAAACGAGTGGAAACGGATGGCTGGATGAGTTAATGCTAATAAAGAATCTGTGCCCATTTGCGATATCTATTTGGTCCAGCACGCTCACGTATCTACTGCTTTTGTAAGAACATTCAAAGCACGCCATCTGTAGGCCCTCAAGAAGGATTTCCAAAAAACATAATGGGCATGGTAGATTCTTCAAAAAGCCTCGTTTACCTCCGTTACTTATGAAAGGTGAGTTCAGAGGTCAGTAGAATACAGCAACGCACAGGCTGACGTAAACAAGGGCCTAAGAAAACTTCAGTGCAGTCACACACTACTATGGCTTCTCGCTCAACTTTTGTACGGTGATCAAAATAAAATAATAGTTATAGAATTTATCTTACATTAATTCACATTTACTATACATTAGAAAGATCCCAAAATAAAAACATGGATTTAATGCTGTGAACAGGTGAACGGTGAAACCAAAACATGAGCAAGGCAACATCACAACTGAGATTAGCAATTTTCTGAAGTGAAAAAAAAAACCGAACCAAAAAAAAAAAAAACGACGACGACAGAACTACAGAAATCGTTTCGCATTTAACCCCATTTTACGTAATTCCTGCCTTAAGGATTGCGCTCAGGAAAGGACCGCCTCATCCATGCAAGAGGTCAAGGGCTGCCCCATCTCAGAATATGCGTATGGTCACTATAACAACCCCGAGAGCGTTTACTAACAGGCCATTTCAACGGGTCTATTCCAGTGCTTTCTGCCACATAAACCAATTTGTCTTAGATTTTGTTGATCCAGACCCTCTCAAGCAAAGTTCCTAAAGGGAATGAGACATGTATCAGGTCAGTATGAAGGCATGGGAGGAATTTCATAATGTCCTAGTGCAGAAGGGTGGTATCTGCTGAGTAATGTTAAGGCATTAAATCGAGATGTTCCGCAGTGGCAGTTACTACCGTAAGTCTGCGTCCTCCCAGGTTCCACCTTATGACAACTACTAAAACAAGGAATTGCCTGCTGAATGGCCATTATTACATTATTTGTGGCATATTTCGCTTAATATGAACACATTGAGGTGTTTTCCAAGCCACTCTGGCACATGAAACAGTTATTCTCATCCTGAACAATTAGCAGTTTTCAGGCATAAAAAACATCTATTAGGAACTGGTTGTGGGAATAATAAGTGACTATACGGACAGAAAGATACAAAAGCGTAGAAGGAAAGTCTTACTGGCCACCTCAGCCAATAGAAAAGCAGCCAGCTGTACGTCAAAGCGGTACGATATCGTAAGAGGAGAAAGCAGCATGACTGGCTGGTGGGGTGAAGTGGGAGGGGGGCTTTAGAACAAGCAGCTTAAATACTAGTCAGTGGAACGGAGGCGCGCATGACGAGTGCCGCTCATCGTTACCACTGGAAACAGCTGCTTAAGTCACACTTTCACAAAGTTCACGTGTAAAGGCCAGCTAGCATCATTACGACAGTTATTTGTTTTGCGCTTTGCCCATGTACATTAAATCACTCCGATAGATACGAGGAAGAAATCTGCAAGTCATATTCTAAGGCTTCGACCACTTCCTGGCAGCATGAGAACCAACAATCAGCCAACAAATACACAGACATGTCAAAAGGGTTAAGTGAAATCAAAAAGCCACCGTCTCGTGTGGAGTGGAAGTGGGCCAGGAGGTGCTCGGGGGAGGAAAAGGTCTGCGGTTCGAGCTCCAGCATGGGGGACTTTGTCTCACTCCCTCCCTCTATTTCACACAAAGGGCTAGAACTGTGCCTATCGTGGAGGAAGAGGACGAGAGGGCACATTCAGAGACTTCCTCCCCGGCACGTCCACCGCCGAGGACGAGGAGAACGAAAAAGAAGCAAAACAGCAAATGAAGTGCAGTGCTGTTCCAGTGCTTTGAGATCCTTAGGTTTGCGTGAAGATCCTAGAGACAGTCCGAGGATGACGCCCTTCGCTGCTTAAATTAAGATGTGGAAGAAAAAAACTAAACAAAACAATGACAATCCCCACAGAGACAACGTGTGCATGCCTCTTCGTTTTCATACATCGGCCCCCTACTCGTTTGGAGGGCTTGCTGTTGTCATCTAGTAAAATTTCTTTATTTGAATGCTCTAAAAACAATCAAAGGAACGGACTGCGCGGTGAGGCCGGCGTTTCATTTGTGTCGCTGAGTGTTCTTCTTCCTCTTCCTCTTGAAGAAACAGCAGCACCTGAGGACGAACACACAGGTTAACCTTAAGTGATGTTAATGAAAGCAGCCGATTAGCTGATTCTTCCAACCTAATAATGAAGCATATACCCTTTAGTTACACATGCGCCGTCACTATGTAGCTGCCTTTGTAAATCTTAAAGCAGAAATGTACATATTGTCAGCGCTGTCAATAATGAATTAGTATATTCGTACCAACCTAAATGCAACATATAAATGGACAACAACTGGTCAAAGTGAATGAAAAGGAAACTTAAAGACATTTAGGTTTCATTAAAAGCATCAACAACAGAATGTTAAACAGCAACAACACGACAGAATGGGTCAGGAAAAACAAGGCACATGCAGTGGAAGAGAACAGCTACAGACTGACACATTGAAAAGTGATAGACTTCACTAAACATGTTTCTAAAAGGTGCTGCTGTTAAACAGCCAGTAAATCTGGCGGTCAGTCACTGGCGGTCTCTGGTTGTATCGGTTGGGTTCACTGCGGTTGTTAAATGACAAGTCATAATGAATATACAGTGTCCGGCAAAAACATGCAGATCCTTAACCAAGTCTGGTTTGAATTCTACATTGAAATTATATTATCGGTACTATTTTTAGTTATAAACACTTAAAGAAAAAAATAATTTATATATATATATATAAAAACTATATATTGGAAAAAAAAAACTATAAAAAATTAAATTAATTAAATTTAATAAATAAATAATTACATACTCTGAAACACTGTTCAGATAATTTCAGTATGTCAAAAAAAATTGCAATTTTGAAAATAAATAAATAAATACATAAATAAATGAATGTGAAGCAATATTCTGTCAATAACCGTGAAACTACTTTATGGCTGTACAATTGCAGAAAGTGAATCAGAATTAAGAATTAAACCAGAATCAATTCTGATTGTGTCTACCAATCACATCAAATAAATATAATAATACTATGGTATAAAATGAGACACTGTTTAATGCTGTAAAATATCCTTATAATATTAAATATGCCATTGTAGGATTGGTAATTCAGTAAAATTAGAGATTTAGGGATTTATTACCATATTAAATAAATAAATAATCTGCCAAGGTATTCTGTTAGAACTTCTATTAATATGAAATTAATATGTAATAATTTTGGGGGGGGGGGGCCAACATGCTGTCAATAAACCTGGAACAACTTCATGGCTGTGCAACTGCAAAAAACTGAATCAGAATTGATTCTGAATGTGTCAACCAATCATATCAAATAAATGTAACAATATTGTGGTATAAAATCTGAGATTTACAGTGGGTACGGAAAGTATTCAGACCCCCTTAAATTTTTCACTCTTTGTTATATTGCAGCCATTTGCTAAAATCATTTAAGTTAATTTTTTTTCCTCATTAATGTACACACAGCACCCCATATTGACAGAAAAACACAGAATTGTTGATGAGGAAAAAAAATTAACTTAAATGATTTTAGCAAATGGCTGCAATATAACAAAGAGTGAAAAATTTAAGGGGGTCTGAATACTTTCCGTACCCACTGTAGTTAAGAGTCTGCATACTTCTGTAAGGAACTGCGTATGTTCGTTTAACCTCCACATCCTCGTTCTATCATTTGGTTTCTGTAAATAAGCTAAAGTTGGGCTATTTAAGACTTCTCAGTGTACCTCCAATCAACTTTAGGGTATTTCAGCCCCTCAAATCAGACATTTTGAGCAAACAGACCTCCCTCTTTCTGTTTCAAACTCACAGACCATGAACAGCTACATTAGCCTACATCTATGTTAGTAGATCTTGGTGTAGGCGCCATCTATATGGCCACAGTCTAGGCTGGTCCACTCCCCTTGGGTTTGATGTGGACTGGAGAGAGGGACTCACCACAGGTTGAGCATTTTCACGCAGCTACAGAAGAGTGTGAAAAGAGAAAAGACAGAGATTATTACACAGAGGTGAGACGATGAGACAAACCTAATGTCGGCGACAAAAACCAACATGAAGACACAAACAGAAAGAAAGAGAGAGAGACAGACTCAGGGGACAGTGTAGATCTAAAACATCTGCTCAATTCATGGTCGCCTTTTATTAAGTAATATCATAATAGGCATTTTCTGTATCCCTCTTTGTAAAATTCTAAAACAGATGGCCAACAGAAAAAAAAAAAAAAAAAAAGAATGGGAGAAAAAAGGGGTAGAGAAGAAAAGGAACAGAAAGGGTTTGGAGAAGTGTAGTGTCGTCCTCAGCTCACCAGCCCACCGCTCTATTAGTAAATATGGCACAACATACATATGCTCCAGTTTGATCACTGGGTCTCTACCACTATGAAAAATTTGTTATGACTATTTCGTAAAAATTAAGCCAAGCAGCTAAAACTCCAACCATGGCCTTAAAAAAAATATATATGTCACTGTAGGCACAGCCTTGAGTGGCTTATATATAGTTCATTGTATAGGTTGTAGGCATGGATTACCGTTTTTTTTAAGGTACAGGTGCATCTCAATAAATTAGAATGTCGTGGAAAAGTTCATTTATTTCAGTAATTCAACTCAAATTGTGAAACTTGTGTATTAAATAAATTCAATGTACACAGACTGATGAAAGAACCAAAGACTTAAACTACTTCAGTCTGTGTGCATTGAATTTATTTAATACACGAGTTTCACAATTTGAGTTGAATTACTGAAAAAAAGTGAAATTTTCCACGACATTCTAATTTATTGAGATGCATCTGTATACCGTGATTTGAAAATTTCACGGTTTCAAAACGTCATTTGTGTGGAAATATTACAAAGTCTGTAAACAGCCGTTAACGAGGCCAGAGACGCTGAAGACGGATGCAAAGAGGAGAAAATACTGTAGCAGGCAGAGCAAGCTCACTGTTTAAGATGCGCTAAATATTGTCAGAAAATCCTAAATATTGAATTGGGGGATTATATAAATGTATCACTGAGGGGAACTGTCTTCAGAAAAGTTTAAATAGTATTTTCTTTTCATCTCGTCTCTGTATAATACATATTAAAGCAGAGTTTAAGCGCAGTGCTGCTTTGTTTACAGCGGTAACCAAGGAAACACTGTATCGCTGCTGTTCCATAAGCGCCACCTGCTGTCAGAGTGTGAATCTGCATCTTATTCAGCCCGTCTGCTGTTTTTGTTTCGTGCAGGCATGTTTTTATGTAGTACACAAAAAGCTAGTCAGAACATTCTGTTTTGTTTCAATTGGGGTTATTATTAAATTATACAAATCTAATTTAAATCAAAAACTACTCATGCTAAGTGCGTGTAGTGTCTTAGCAATTCAATTGTTTCTTAAATATTAAGAAACTTGCTATCGCTATATGTGCATCCACACTAAAATAACAATAATAGATTTTATAGCATTATTTGATTATATTTAGGGATGCACCGATACCACATAAGATACAAGGCAAAGGCAACAGAAACCTGTGAGAAGCCATGTGCACATACTTGGCCTCATCCACCACCTCCACCTCTGCCTGCGCTGTGATTGGTGCGTTTGAGTGGGCCGCCAGAGGGTCGTCTGCATTCAGTTCACCATTAGTTGAGCTCACCACCTGTGGCAAAAAAAACAAAACAAAAAAAAAAAGATTTAAAATTAAATAAAATTATTGGGTAGCCTCAGTGTAACAACGCTATTTTAATTAGATAGTTCAGTCATTTCCTCTACAGAAATTCCTTACAGAACTTTAATACGTGTATCTGTGCAAGTAACTACTGGAAGGCAGTAATTGAGGAGTATCATTTACTACCATACTTGCTTCTGAAAGAGGATTTAGTGGCTGGTCAAAAATTCCTGGTTAAATACAACTTGAACTTTATTCCCACTGAAAATAATTTCACTTTTCAAATTTATAAAAAGATAAATGATTTTCACAGTAATACACTTACATTGGAAATCTATAGGGCCATGTATTGTATTGCTGTGTTTTCTCATTGTATGTAAATTATTCAAATTTTGTTTAACCTAGAATATTTAAATGCTTCATTAAAAATTACTTTGCAATCAATAATCCAAAAAAAAACAAAAAAAAACCTCATGCTTTGAATGACTTCAACATTAACCAATATAGCCAGATTATGATATCCATGCAATCATATAAAAGCTAATGATCTATTATTGGAGTTGAGTCTCACCAGATCCACTAATGTACAGAAAGGATAAAAGCTCTACTCATACTGCCCATCTACACCATATCTTATCTTATCATTAACCATAATGTTCACTTTTAGTCTACATCAGGGTTATAATCATTAACTAAAACTAAAACCATAAAAAAAAAATTGTTACTTGAAAGACACTGATAAACATTTAAATGAAATAAAACACTAAAATTAACTAAGTTATTTTATTTCAGCTACCTGCTAAGGCAACATTTCTCATTTTTGTTTAACTTTTTTTTACTTGAAAAAAACACACGAAATTAAATATAAATAAAAAAAAATAGACATATAAAAAACGAATACAAATTACAAAAATACAAAATTATTAAAAGTAATTATTACAATTAAAGTGAAAACAGAAAAATATAAAAATAAAACCTAATTAAAAATTAACAAAACAAAAAAAAAGATTATTTATGATACTAAACTAACACTGGTGTACAGTGGCCCCAAAGTATTTGTACACTTAAGTCACACTTAATGTAATAACATTTGGTTTATTATTTTGTCATCTAATATATCTTTACATATTATATAATTTTTCACAGTTTAATGAATAAAGAAGCCATTTTTAATTACGCTCTAAGCTGTCAGCGGCATTTCTGAGTTGCTTCTGAGGCACCTACTGGATAAAAGTGAAGCAAGCAGCGCAAGGTGGTGAATCTGCAGGTTTGTCACCGTTTCAATCAAATACATGCATCACAATGTACTGCATTGTGCTTGGTGTACCGTATAGTGAGAGAGTTGGCGATACTAGGTCCTAATGTCAGCTGGACCAAATGAACACAACAGGTGTTACATCATATTTTCCTGATAATCTCAGTGTCTGTGTGACATCTTATGCGGTGTTTCATTCAATTCAGAAAGTTGGAATTTACACCCTCATACTTGGAAAAGAATATGAAAATGTCACATTTCCAACCTCCTACTTGGAAAATCCCAATAGAATGCCACTTGACAACGCTCTTCCAACTTAAACAATGGAATGCTATACGGTTGGAATTCAGAAATATTAAGTTGGATTATCCAACATTCAACTTTGAATGAAGCGCAGCATTACTACTTTTTTTTAATAAGAAGAATAATTGCAGAAAAGGGGAACCCATAGAGGAAGTGTTCTAGTCAAGTCTGAGAGCAGGTGGGGTCTGCTGCTGCAGATGGCCGTACACATGAGCACACACAGGAGGAGGAGTCGAGCGAGGGGTGAAGCAGTACCTGCACTGAGCCTCCGTGCCTGTCCGCTGCCAGGTGCGAGGTCAGGTAGGAGGAGTTTGTCTGACGGTTGGGCTGTACCTCCCAAGCTCCTCTGCGGTCGGAGATGGCCGTCTGCGTGGATGGAGGAGGTGCAGGAGGAGGCGCAGGAGGGGGGAGGTGTGGTGAGTGAGCGAGAGCGGGCGGAGTGAGGCCAGGTGGCATGCAGCACAATGCAGGAATGGAAATCAACAAGAAACAAAAAGAGCCAGTCAAAGCCAGGAATTAGTGACTGTGGACCAGTCGTCCAATCAAACCAAGAAGCAAACACCACAAAATAAACACAGAGACATTAAAACAAAGGAAACTAAAGAGAACACTTTCTGAAAGCTGCTGAATGCCAAGTGGACACTACATGCAGCAAATCAGGCATCCAACACTGAGATCGAATTGGAATATCTGACAGCATAATTTCAATAATTAAGAGAACTAAAGAATTCCACAGCTACGCATTGCATACAATTCAACCTGATGGGTCATATTCTGCCATTTAAGTGGACAAGACGCCATTAACAGAGAGCTCAACACATTCTGAGTCAGACAGGAAACACGAGAAACATACAAATCCAAATTCAATTTATGAAATGGCAATGTGCAGTATTACAGCTTTAGTACAACCCCCCTGGTGCATCACTAGTGTGAAATGTGAAAGTGTTTTGTGGTGGACACGATAGTGGGGTATTGTGAAAAATATAGTGGAAAATCTAAATTCACTTAATTGCTTTTGCATTTAGTGGTAGGATTGAAATTAATAACTTATGTTTATTCATCCATTCAGTTTAAGCAGACATTTTTTAGAGTCCTAATTTAATGTGTTCTGGATGATGGACATAAATAATTGAATATTTAAATAAAAAATATATATTGTGGACAGTTCTATGTACATCTGGAACACTAGTTCTAAACACACGACAAAAAACACAGGGTACAACGGGGTTGAAGGCACACTACTCGCAGTGTATGAGTGCAGAAAAAAACTTTAATGACTTAGAATTCTAAATACATAGACATCACTAACGAGTTGGGTCCCCTTTGCTATAACAGCTTCCACTCTTCTAGGAAGGCTTTCCACAAGATTATGAAGTATTTTTGAGGGACATTTTGCCCATTCATCCAGTAGAGCATTTGTGAGGTCAGTCACTGATGTTGTACAAGAAGGCCTGGCTTGCAATCTCTGTTCCAGTTCATCCCAAACATGTTCGATGGGGTCAAGGTCCAGGCTCTGTGTGGGCCAGTCAGGTTCTTTCACACTAAACTCATGTATTTATGGACTTTGCGTAGTGCACTGGGGAACAGTCATGTTAAAATAGAAAAGCATTGTCCAAAATGTTTTGGTATGCAGAAGAGTTAAGATTTCCCTTCACTAAAAGTAAGCGTCCCAGTCCAACCCCTGAAAATTAGCCGCATACCGTGATTCGTCACTCCACAGAACATGTTTTCACTGCTCCAGAGTCCAGTGGTGGCGTTCTTTACACAACTCCATCTGACACTTGGCATTGTACTTTGTGATGTGAAGATGACCCTTTTTTTCCCCCCACAAATGTTTGTAAATGCTGACTGCATGGCTAGGTTTTAATTTCATATATCTGAATTCAATAATTAAGAGGTGTGTCCCTTTACTTTTGTCCACTGTATGTTTTTATTGAACATTAATGAAGCACCACATTTTATGGGAAAACAAATCATAAAATGTTTTTTGTTGTTTAAATATCGTACACATTTAATGGATGGCCACACTTGGAATAAAAGGTTCTTTAGCATGGGGCAAAGGCACTCAGTATTGATACAAATACTTTATCTAAAGTAATGTTTTATATAATATTAAAGTTAAAGGCAGGGTATGTAATTTTTCAAAAACACTTTAGAAAACTGATTGTTCAAAATCACTACAGCAAAGTCTGTTATTTTGATAAAATAAATTTTTGTTCAATAAATAAAAATATCATTAAAACATGTTAATTAAAAAAAAAAAACACCTAAATCTACCCAATTCATGTCAACAAATGGAAAAGCTTCTAACAACAGGAGCAGTTTTACCTTAAATGGATAGTTCACCCAAAAATTCCAACGACGACACTATGGAAGTCAATGGCTACCAACAACTATTTGGAAACCCACATTCTTCAAAATATATTTTGTGTTCAACAGATGAAAGAAATTCATACAGTTTTGGAACAACATGAGTCTGAGTAAATGACAAAATTTAAATTTTTAGGTGAACTATCCCTTTAAATACCATACCGATTTAAAGGCACAATATGTACGTTTTCGCCGCTAGAAGGCGCGTATTCAAAACAAACAAAGGAACAAAGGCGTAGTTTGATGACGCCGTGACTGAGTGTGGAATCATGGGAGTTGTCGTCTTCATCCCCACAGCCAATGTAATCCGATGGGCATAAATCATGTTCATGGATGAGCTAATGATTTATTAATGTCGTAGTAAGAAGCAGGGTGAGGCTGAAAGCCGTCGAAGTGAAACGAGGCCGCTGAACTAGCGTGCCTTGAACAAAACTGAAGATCATTAACAAGTTTCAACTTTGTTTCAAAATATATTTCATAATTTTATTTATTCTCCTTTGCAACAAACATATAACATTTTAAAACACATTAAAACTTAGATCAAATTAGCACAACCAACTTTGCGCTGCTGTCAATGATCAGCCAAATTTCTGCATTAAACTCCTTTTAACCAGGTGCACCTTAAGACCTGTTGAACCCCATAACTTATAGGCAAGTCTATAGAAATGCATTGGTTTAATTTAAGATGTGCCCCAATTAGTGTTGCGGTGCCCTCTAAACAGACTCAATAAACACCAGAACCTCCACCAAACTGTTTACAGGACCCTTGTGTCTTTCAGCCAAGAATTTCTAAATATATCTGCACTCCTCTTCCCTCACAAGAATCATAATAATACAGATTTACACTGAATTCAAATCACTGGAAAGATCATAAATATATGATGTCAAGACGTCTTAAAAGAACAATTTAGCCAAAAATGAAAGCAGTCATCACTTCATTATCTCACCCTCACCCTGTCTTTGCAAAACCAACAAAAAGGAAAAATATGATTTTTGGTTGACTTAAATCCTTGAACTGCAAGCACTAATTTGAGTGCATTCCAAATTCAAAAACTTCTGCGAAAATCTTTTCTGAGCCAAAATTAAACTTTTGCTTTAGCAGATGAGTTAGAAACAGGGCAAGTTTGTGAAATGTGCAAAGCGGATTTGCTCTTGCAAACGTAAGAGAGAGGCAGAAAAAGCACTTTACAGAAACTGGCAAATGAATCAATATAAAAATAGTCTCCAGACATATATACACGTAGAAATATATAGTTTTATGAAATTCTAGTCCCAGCATGCACTCTGAGCCATGATATGCTAAAGCAGTGCATGCTGTAGCAGCCAGCTGCTGAGCGGGTGAGTCTAATGATTTTGTTTAAAGCTACATGTAGTGCTGCAGAAACCCTCTAAAATCAACTCCACCTCCATCAGCTCTGTTCAGAATTCTTGAGCAAATGTCATGAAAACATGTCTAGGCCATTATTTCACTCTAAAATTAAATCAAAACTCATTAAAATGTATGCAATTTATGCATGTGGTGACCCCGAGGTGAAAAATGACCCAGACTTCTTTTGTAAGATTCACCCATTTGGTTTAGGGTAAATATTATTTACCTTTAATAAATGGGTGTGTGGACTGAAACGTGAACATAGGGCATTTTCTCTTTCTGTTCTTGTAATAAAGACAAGGGTCATCAATCTTAAGCTTCCTTAATGAGCAGCAGAAGATTACCTGATTCCTTAAGGGCTGGTGCTGGGAGGGTCTGTCTCTGTGTGCATGGCTCTCACGCGTGATGGCAGATGCCCCTGAGTCCACGTGGACCGACCCCACCGGTGTGGGCTGACAAAGACACACCAAAACACAGAGAACATCAGTGTAAGGTGAGCTAGCTCTGTGTCTAAGCAAATATAGGCAGCAACATTACACTGTCTTGCAGAGATGGGTAATTTGGGTCACTTTTGACTTATTCTCTAATAGGGGTGGGACGAAATATCGTTATGGCAATATATCGTCCTTCTCTGTGCAATACGAGAATTGATATGCTAGCGCCACATATCGATATTTTAATTAATAAAATCAGGCGCACTAAATAGATTTCCATGCTACCAGCGTCGCTACTTCATGGCTCCTCGAGGTGGCGCTCAACACATGAATGAGGGAAATATGAATTTCATTATTAGCGCGTCTGATTGCGCTAATACTGTCAAAAAAACAAGGTTTACATATAAACACAGTTGGTTATGTCTAAAGCGAAAGTAAACAGTCGAGTGCCTGAGGGATGCGTGCCTGTATTAATTTCTTTCTTGTGCTGAATGCTGAATGATATTTTGAGTAACCAAACAATTGATGGTCCCCATTAACTTTGACAGAAGGGGAAAAAAAATACTATGGAAGTCACTGGGGACCAGCAACTGTCTGGTTACCCACATTCTTCAAAATAACTTTTACATTCAACAGAAGAAAGAAACTCATTCAGGTTTAAAACAACTTGAGAGTGAGTAAATGATGACAGAATTTTCATTTTTGCTGATATTTTGCAGAATTTTCAACAGTTTGGACTTGAATGAAGAGAGAGAACCTGCACTTAACTTTTTTTTACAGGCATTTTGTTTTCATAGGTAGACAGATATCATGATGTATCATTATAGGATTGTCTAACAATATATCGATTATCGCAGAATTGCTGTATTGTGATATTATCTGTATCGTGAGCCATGTATCGTGTATCATACAGTATCGTGAGGTACCCTGTGATTCCCACTCCTATTCTCTAGGCCAGTGTTTCCCAACCTTTTTTTAGTTGCGGCACCCTTTGGAAATTTTAACAAACTTGTGGCACCCTACAAAATTAATTTTGTCACAATATTTGAATTTCTAACATCGATATGATAATTTGAAAAGTATAGATATTCGGTACAACAGGCGGTATATGAGTGGAGCGACTGAGCGGAGCGCACACGCATAGAGCGGGATAATACGCAGAGCGTCACACCACGTGAAAGTGAAACCTGAGCGGTGAACTAATTTTCGGCAGCCAAAATTTCGGTGCATCTCTAATTATTGGCGACATCAGAAATGGATATTATATAATAGATGCTTTTTTTAACATTTTAGCAATTCAAAAATATTAAAAAAGGATTTTTTACACGGCACCCCTGCTCTCGACAGACGGCACCCCGGTTGGGAAACACTGCTCTAGGCATTAAAATGTACATTACACTGTACATTCAATACTGAAAAATATTGATTAAAATGGTAATGTATTTTTATGCTAACAGAATTGCATTATTAGCTTAGCAACATGCTAACATCACACTTTATTGGAGTCAACTGAGGGTACGATTTATGTTGTACGCAGAGTTGCTACCCATGAAAACCGTTTCAAGGCAGGTTAAATTATGGTTATGACCTATGTAGTGAGGTGCTAGAAGAGAGCTAACGTGAGTGGAATGCAGAAATTCTTTATGAAGATGAAGATGACGTTGACTCACAATCTGTCTGCCAACCCAGTCATAAGAGTAATCAAAGGTATATCCTTTTCGTTCAAACAACTCCGTAAACAAGGTCCGCAAGTATTCGTAATCTGGCTTCTCAAAGAAATCCAACCGCCGGACATAGCGTAGATAGGTGGCCATCTCCTCTGAAAACACAAATGAGGAAAAGGTTAAAATGACATTAATCAATAAATAAGAGCAAAGGGAACTCTGGTCATAAAGTCAACATATGACAGGCTTCAACAATCCATTTTTCTTCTGCAATGTGATGTGCTGTTGTCCACATGGTAGCTGAAAAAGTTACTGCATTTGGATAAAGGATTACAAAATAGGGCTGTGTGCAATGACTGAAATTTTGTAACCAACTAGTCGACTAGTCTAACAAACCCCCAGAAGACAGTCAACAGTCAACTCCACAGAACATGTTTTCACTGCTCCAGAGTCCAGTGGCGCCATGCTTTACACAACTCCATCTGACACTTGACATTGTACTTGGTGATGGGAAGATGACCCTTTTTTCCCCTCACAAATGTTTGTAAATGCTGACTGCATAGCTAGGTTTGATTTCATATATCTGAATTCAATAATTAAGAGGCGTGTCCCATTACGTTTGTCCACTGTATTTTTTTTTATTGAACATTAATGAAGCACCACATTTTGTGGGAAAACAAATCAAAGTCGTTTTTGTTGTTTAAATATCTTGCACATTTAATAGATGGCCACACTTGGAGTAAAAGGTTCTTTAGCATGGGGCAAAAGGCACTCAGTATTGACACAAATACTTTATCTAAAGTATTTAATCTGTTTCATATAATATTAAAGTTAATGCTTGTTCAAAATCACTACAGCAAAGTCTGTTATTTTGATAAAATATGTTTGTTCAATAAATAAAAATGTCATTAAAATGTTAATTTAAAAAAATATAATCTAAATCTACCCATGTCAACAAATGTAAAAGTCAGACAGCTATTATTATCATGTCAATTCTTGTGCTAGTGGACTAGTCTAACAAACTCCCAGAAGACAGTCAAAAAACAGTCTGTATATGCAATCTATCTATAATAGATATCTATCAAATAGTCAAATCCTATACTGAATGCCGCTGAAAAATATGCCTCCCGTTCCACCACATCCCAAAGGTGCTCTACTGGATGGAGATCTGGTGACTGTGGAGGCCATTTGAGTATAGTCAACTCACGGTCATGTGCAAGAATCCAGTTTGAGATGATTTAAGCTTTGTGACATGGCGCATTATCCTGCTGGACGTAGTAATCACAAAATGGGTACACTGTGGTCATAAAGGGATGGACATGGTCAGCAACAATACTCAGGCAGACTGTGGAATTTAAATGGATGGTCAATTGGTACTAAGGGGCTCAAAGTGTGCCAAGAAAATATCCCCCACACCATTACACAACCAGCAGCATCCTGAACCGTTGATACAAGGCCGGATGGATGCATGCTTTCATGTTGTCTCTGACAAATTCTGACCCTACCATCTGAATGTCGCAGCAGAAATCGAGACTTATCAGACCAGACAACCTTTTTTCAATCTTCTATTGTCCAATTTTGGTGAGGCCATGCAAATTGTAGCCTCAGTTTCTGTTCTTAGCTGAAAGAAGTGACAGAAGTTGAACAGCTATACCTAAAAGAGTGGCCAGTGGGTGAGTCTATTTATTAAATTCAACTGATTTAATAGACAGTGACCAATAAGTACAAACATATAAGCCTATTATAAAGTAAACACATGACAGCAGCAAAATTACAAGAAAAGCATGGCATGTACCATGTTTAAGTGTAGTGTTAAGTATAGGATCTGTTGTTGTCAAGTAAGCATTCATAATTTTTCCCTTTTAAACCAGGATAAAATGTCATACCTGTATTGTCCCTCATTACAAGCACATAAGCAAGCTTAATAATTCCATGCCAGTTTCACACAGTCCAACCCAAACCTTTCCATTCTCTTTTAAGTAAAAATACTACTTGAACTTGCTCATCTTCCAAGTGGACGTTTCTCTGAACCTGCCGTGAGTTACACTGAGAAAACGATTGCATTCAAGCTCTAAGGCAATATAAAATGTTTTTTGTTTTTTTTTGCACTCCAGATATATATATAAACAATATATTATTTTTAAAAAGTATCATTAACATGACAGTAATTTGAAGCAGCAGCCGTATCGTTTAGACTACTAGTCTTGCACATCCCTATTATAAAGAAACATGATATTTCCTTTGGTATTACTGTGCACTTCTGAATCGCGCATAAGACCAGGAATGTGTATGAAAAGTGTAAATGGGGTCAATTCTGATTTTATGTTGACTTTACGATTAGCTGATTACAAGTGAAGCACATGATGGGGGTCTCACCAGGAAAGTTCTCACAGAGAACCTCAATGGGAGTGTTACGCTTTGTGTCCCCAATCTTCTGGTAACGTTCTTTCAGCGTGTCAGCCTGCAAAGCACAAAACAACATCTAATTTTCAAGAACTAAATTGGTAACAGTTTTAATGGCTTGAACATGCTAGTTCAACATACTTTTAGTCCCTGCCAAGGGAGACTACCCCGGAGGAAATACATGAACATGTGACCCAAGGCTTCAAGGTCATCCCTCCGACTTTGCTCTGCAAAAAAAAAAAAAAAGTAGTAAATAAAATAGTAACATCATGTACATAATAACAAATCTGGTTCAGATTTGATTTACTTAACTCTTAACTATTAATATATTGATCATTGATAATATTAATACATACGAAATAATTGACCAAAACAATAAATATCCATATCTCCTTTCAAACCCAGAAGACGTCCATTCATCTACAGAACCATTTTTGTTCATCCAGTCCAGTTTTCATCCAGTTTGGAGTGACGTCCTGGGGCGGGTTGCATAAACTGCTTAGACTAATCTTAAAAAGTTAGTCCTTAAAAAGGACAGCACTGTCCAGGTTGTCTGTTTATTTCTTTTCACTGTATCATCTTGTGCAGCCCATTTTCCCTCTCATATCACATTCAGTTTAGACGACATGCTCACAACTGAGGTGCTATAGAGTCAATGCAACATTAAAGGAACCAAACATGAATATCATGTTCTTTAAAAGAACTGGTTCATGATTCCCAACCCTATTAAACAGCCAATCAAGAAGCCACATAAAGCGTGAGGATAGTGACATGCTAAATTTAATGTTAAGTCCATTTTAGGATCAGACTAGGGAGGTATCTAACACTTACCTTTCCCTAAGTGTGTATTAATAGACATGTATCGAGCTGTGCCGGTAAGGCTCTTGTGCTCCCGGTAAGGAATGTGTTTTTTGGTTTCTGGGTCAATGTATTCTTTCGCAAGGCCAAAGTCTATGATGTGAATGATGTGCTCCTTCTTGTTTCCTTGTCGACCGATGAGGAAGTTCTCTGGCTTCACGTCTCTATAGATGAGGTTTTTAGAATGCACATACTCCATACGGGAAATCTAGGGAAATTGAACACAAGACTCACATTACACACTTAGATTGCAAAGCATCAGTCCAACGATATGCAAGCACTTCTCACCCAGGTGCCACACTGCTCTTAAACTACAGCAGGCCTGTGCACTCACCAACTGAATGGCGATCATCAGGACGGTCTTGAGGGAGAATGTTCGGTCACACAGGTCAAAGAGATCCTCAAGACTGGGGCCGAGCAGCTCCAGAACCATGGCATTGTATTTCCCACAGGGCCCAAAATAGAAGACCTGAGGCAGACCCTCTACTTTGAAAGAAAAATACAAGAAAATTACAGAAACATTAACTACACTTGTCATAACATTCTCTCTTTAATGGTTAAGTGTGTATTTTTAATGAAATTATGATTGTAAAAAGCTGGCCCCAGCTGATTATGGATTAAAGCAACTTATTCCTCCAACCACTAGATGGCAGCACTGTGAGAACTATGCAAATGGCAGAATATGTAAATGAAGTTGGATTTGCTGCAAGTAATTTTGAATGCTTGCAATCACACATGAATTATGCCAAGAAACCAGAATAAGGTGGCTGATTCCCAAGTTTGCCATGTAAGCCGATAAGAGTGCTGCAGGGATGATGTATTTTTGTAGGCCAAAACCCGAAAAAGTTAGCATTTTAGCACTTTCAGTTCCATCATCCCAAAATTAATATATATTTTTCATGGGTTTTTGGTTAAATGCCTGAAATACAGTCTGTGGTTCACACAAGCTCAAGATTTTCATGTTTTATTCTACAACATAAAAAAAATATTTTTTTTACTCTCAAAAAGGCGGTTGCTAACAAGTGGCTAAATGGGACTGCAGTGTTTGCTGGGGACACAGACCTTAGTCAGGGTAGCGGCATATTTAATTTTCGACAGGAATGAAATGTGGCTGTGAGGGACTGAAATACAGTGCGTTCAGTGGATGGTACTGCTGTCTAAAAGTACTACTACTACTACTAGTAGTACTACTACTGACTATCCAGCTGACCAAACAGCTTTCTGGGGAGAAAAAAAAAAGAAAACTTCAGTAGACAAAAGCTCCATAAGAGTTTTTAAATTAATTTGTGAGTTGTCAAAAATTATGTGATCTAGGACCTTTATACAGTGTGTGCCATTGTAAAGACTGCAAGTCTATCCCTCAAAGCCTAATTTTTATCCCTGTTAAAAGTCAATATGGCGTCTAACCTGACTAAGCATCGTCACATAAACAGGAAAACTCATCTACTCACTAGTCCGCTTTCACAGCCCCATTGTGCTTATATAAATCATGCTCTTGCAAACTATTCTAACTAAAATTTTCAGGGAAAATGTTATTTAAATAAAGACTCATTGTCATGTGACCATATCGCCTACGTTTAGCTTTTTACTTCTGCCTACTGTATTTAGGCTTCAGAATTCATAAGTTGGATTAGTTAGTGAAGATTATCGTGAACAAAACTTGATCAATCAATATTTTGCTAGTCACAGACCTTATTTTTTGCAGTGATCCAAAAGCTAATGGAAAAATCCTATTACGTTTTTGTTGACTGAACCAGAGTAATACTAACTTGTGGTTTGGCCTACAAACGGAAAAAAAAAAAAAACATCTGCAGACTCTTTATTTAATAGCTAAAGCATATACATGTGCCTCTAAACTGTATGCATCTTCTAAGGGTGATGTGGGTAGTTTTAGGCAAAGCCTACACTGCTCATTGTGTGGTGGTGGTGTAACACCCCTGAGAATAGAGCGCACTGTTGGCCTGCCGATGACTCATCTTGTGTTCAGACTGCACATAACACATATTCAGTTGTTGGTTTCTATCTATCTCTGCTGATTAACACTTTCACAAGCTTTCTATCGGCACTCCACTGCTAGATGCTGCTGGAACATGTGAGTGGGAATTTAAAGGGGTCATATGATGCTGCTAAAAATAACATTATTTTGTGTATTTGGAGGAAATTCATATAGTAATACATATAGACATGTAATCGGCTCAAAAAGTGGCATATTATATGAAAAACTGTGAGCTTCAGGTCACCAGTCATAAAAAGCGATTTGAGAAAAGTTCATCATGACTAAAGCTGCATTGAATCCAAGTCCACAGATGTCGACAGAATTTCAACAGCTGTCATTCACATAAGCTTATTTCCCTTGCCCGTTTATTATATATTATGGCTAATTTAATAATGCTTTCAGCAACCAATAACAGTGATTTTAAGGCTGATTCTATACTTTATACTAAGAGATGTGCAATATACAATATATACAGAAAAAAAAAAAAAAAAAAAAAAACAGGATTTCAATTTTAAAAAGGCTATGGCACCAGCACTGTGCAAATTTGGCAACATTGTGCTGTTGCTCAAAAGAAATAACTCATCTAGAGTTGAAAACGTTTTTACCCATATGTAAAGATTTTTTTTTTTCTAATATAAAAAAAAAACTTGAAAAAAAAAATACCCAAAACAGGGAGATTTCACAATCTAAATGTAAATAAATAAATGGATAAATAGACAAAAATATGATAAATTCAGATTTTGGAATTATAATTTTAAAGCAAAATGAAGTTTTTGTGGCAATTTAGAATTAACGCCAAGGTTTCAGGGCTTGGTATCAGTCCAAAACACCATAAACCATGTATTTTAATGGAATGGTGTACTGCAGTCATTGCAGAAAAACAAAAAGGTTACCATGGAGGCCTAGGTCTGATTAAACCAGGTGCAGTGTAGTTCTCCCAGTCAGTCCCACTTTGGAGTCCTCAGTGCTTCAACAAAACGCCATCTGCCAGCAGCCCGTTTGAGAACAGGGCCACCTACGCCCGCTCAAACACAGATGTCTGACTGGAGAGGAGAAACCATGTGACTCTACTGCCTCCAGTTCACATACACCAGCCTGCAGTGACGCAGCTCACTTCTGCCACACTGCACACTTAAACAAACCCCAGTTCAGCCGGAGAATCAAAGACAAAGACTGGGAGAGTCCATTGAGCTGGATTTATCATGCCTGAGCTAGTTGGTCAGTAGCCAAGCCGTTCCCAGCCAAACTCAAGAGATTCAAGTCCCGATGCCAAGGCTGCCCTGGAGGTGTATCAGAGTTCAACACGATACAGCTACACATTAACCACAAACAAAAGAGAACTGCACTGAACTTTCTAGAGGAAGAGACAAGAGTGTGACCTTCATTTGGCTGGGTTCTGCCAGCGTGATGGGAAATTATGGCGTGTACAAGAAGTTGTTAAATATTAATGTTTCATAAGGAAGTATTTTCAAAAGGACGTCAGAGTAGGAGTCATCTTTATTAATGATAAAGATAGTGGAATATTGATAAGTCATCTCTTATTACAAAGTAACATGGCATTTCAATTGTTTTTGAAGATGTACTATAGGGATGCTCCGATCAGGATTTTTGCAGCTGATACGGAGTACTGATTTCTTGTCATGGTGATCGGCCGATACCGATGCCGATTCTGATGCTTCAAGCTTTATATAGACGGTTTCATTGGGCGCACGCGCCTGGCCCGAAAGTTAACTTCCGGTCAGTGTTTGTTTATCAGTCTGGCTATGGCGCCGCTGACCGATTTTCCAAAAGGCTTCGTTGAATAAACATGAGCACGTACTGCACATTTAAAAATCAAAACGAGGCGCGGGTGTTTTTAGATCACTGTATTTCTGAAGAAGACTATCTTTAGAAAATTTTCGATGTCATTTTAATTTCATCTTGCATGTAATATGCCTGATAAAGCACCGTTTGTGAGCTTCAGCGCTGCTTTGTGTACAGCCGTTACCGGGGAAACCTCTGTTTCTCCCGCTTTAAAACACCTCCTGCTGGCAGAGAATGAATTTGCATTTTCAGTAAGTCCGTCTGATTTATGCAGCAAACATATTTTGTTTTTCATATATACACAGGCGCTGCGGATAATCCGCGGGTCGGGTAATAAAAAATGCATTCTGATTATTTGCGGGTGGGTCGTGGGTGGATAAAATAAATCATCAATGATGCAAATATTAACTACATTTTTAAAAATATAATTTTTTTTTCATGAGGCAGACGATTTCGTGTGTGTGTGTGTGTTCGTTTGCCTGATCGGGAAGTTTTAGTGACAGAAACGGTGACATTCCAGATAAAGTTTGAAAGGAGTAAAGCCTGTGTTAATGCTACTGAGTAGGCTAATATGGCCAAAGAAGATATTTTGTTTTATAAATAAATGTTCATTTAAAAGCAGCCCACGATCAGCATGTTATGTTACCATTATCCCTTACGGCTCCAACGAGGTTTTGTTCCGTCCTCCACGCTGTGACAACTCACAAAAGACTATATTTAGCCAAGCAGCGCGGAGAGTCGCTTCAGAAACGTGCCGCGGCTGGCCGTTATAAACAAGCATTAGCGCGGCCGTGATCAGCTCCGGTGGCCGTGGAGCCGCGACGACGTGTGCAGTGAGGCGCAGATCAGCTCTAACGCCACTGAATCTGCTGTTAAAAATGAACCATCTATTCATCCGTCACCACGCATCATGTACGTCGTCACGTGTTGACGTCATCAAATTGCGATCGGTTTGTGAGATCGGCCAAGTGTAGTGAGTACCGATCGAGTCATAAAATGTGGTTATCGGCCGATACCGATTTCCGGTCGATCGATCGGAGCATCCCTAATGTACTATGATAATACCATTCTTCGAAGCACCACGGATATTGCAAAAACCATTGTGTATAAGTCTGGTAAATTATTCAGTACCATGGTATATCTCAAACTATTGCCGTCCCAATTCACCTACTTTACTATGCTCAAAATATTTTATTTCATCCACATTTTGTTTCATTTAATTTCATACCGTATTGGGAGAGAAATTAAGTAGCATGTTAATCTGCCAGTCACTTGTCTTTCATGTCGTGAACTCTCCCTCATGAGTAGGGTTGGGTACCGAAACATATGTAACCGGTATGTACTAGAACCAAATCAGAACGCAGATTTCGGTGCTACTTAAATGCTTGAGCGATCGATTGAAATATTTGCTCTCTGGTTCTCCGAAACGGAGGTAAGGATCACCGGCACCGCACGTGAAAAATTATTTCCCGACTGAGAAAGTTCCTGAACGCAAGTCGCAAAGCTCTAATAATACAAATCCAACACATCTTTGTAGTAACACGAGTGTCCATGTTGTTTTCACATTCCGACTTAAAAGTACAACTCGGGAAATGAGAGCATCCGAGGAGCGTGTGAATGAAGCAATTACACTTGCTCTGATGGCAGCAGGTAGATACCGTTAGCTAGCTAAGCTAAACATTCTTAA